ACATTTATATCGAATTATAGGCTTATTCCGTTATTAAATATATACCGAGTGATTTTTTTATCATTGAACACACATTATTTCAAAAAATATAAATACTTTTGAAAAAAATTTTTACATGGTTTCTAGTCGTTAAAACATATTTATATATTTTAATATTTTTTATCTCTAAAATTATGTGAGTTTTTATTTTTTTAATATGACAACACAGTTTTCATTTCATATTCCAAAGCAGAATATTTATCCAAGTATTTCGATACATAAAAATCGAATTTAGGACAAGTAGTTAGAAGTTATAAGTTAAATTATAAAAGAATCAATCGGTTTTATACTTATTTTACATTTTATTTTTGAGTTTTATTTTTAATGATGGGAGAATGAGCACTTTTACTTTATGGCTCATTTTAAACTTTTATTTTATAGGACACCCTTAGGTTTTATGAGTACCTACTCAAGTCTAGTGATGTACTTATAAGGGGATGTAGAAGGCTATTCACCCCACGAGTTATTTATAAATGCGTTTCTTATATGGAGTTTATTTCTCCATAAATAAAGAATTATTGTTATTACTAGTATTATTATTTTGTCTTTAATAGAAAAGTATTATTGATGTACCTATTATATTTTTAATTATAGGCCAGAATAATAAAACAGGAAGTCTATTCAATTTAGGTACATTAGTGTAATAGGTACTACATTACAACTGACATTTAAATTATTTGGACGCAGTGAAATGGACTCATTTTATAATCAGGTTAACGATAATAGGTCTTCCCCTAGGTTATTGATCACTGGAAGAAAAAATGTCTAATTCATCAGTACACATTCATAATTTTAATTATCCAAAACTTCTTGAAAAAATGCATTTAAAATAAACATAATCAACACAAGAAACAAAGATACATTTAATCCAAAAAAAATCGCTTTATATTTCCTCTCTAATATTTTAATGTCAAAAGGAAATAGCTATCTTTATTTTTAATTTTAAAAATGTAATTTTAACTTATGTTCTTACTATCAAGTTTTATCACAATGGGTCTATTAACTATAATTTTTAAATTAACAAAGCTATACGTGATCTGCTGAGCATAAATTTGTCATGTTACGCACTTGTAAGAAAGAAACAACAAATGTCAGTTTTACATCCTCTTAATAATATATTATATGGATATACATAAATATAAGGTTCCATAAGGTTTTTATTTACCTTTAATTAATATTATTTTTTATAAAATGTATTGTTATTATGTTATTATTTTTAATAGTTTGATTTTGTTGATATTGATATTTTATTAAAATCGTATTCATAATTTAGTTTCTAATATTTTTAGCAATAGTTTATGAAAAAATTGTTTTCTTTTCAAGATTTACAGTCTTGATAATCGAATTTCATATAATGTATTTGTAACAATTATAATGTATTAATAAATAATAATAATGAATAATTAAAACAAATCAGTAGTACTCCTCTAAAATTTAAATGAAAAATAATATGGGTAAAATATAACATAACCAAGCTTATAACTATAAAAGCAAATATATAACTGTGCTATTGTTTAAGTATACATAATCAACACCTAATATGCATTAAACTTCTTACACGATTTTTTATATAGTAATACATTATAATATTATAATATATAAACGAAGAAAAAATTATGTATTTATTTGTATTGTTATTTTAGTTATGTGAGAAATGTGTGTTGCAAATTGTAATGAATATTTAATTTATATAAACTATTTAATGAATTTGTATTTCAAACTTTTAACTCCTGGGCCCAATATCTTCTCGGAGAAAAATTTAAAAAAAAATCAAAATAAAAAAATGAAAAAATATTGCCCTATAATATGCAATAAAAATAAAATTTAGTTCAATAGATCAAATTTCGTACTTTTACCTACTGTACTATGATGCTATTGAGGCCCTTTTCACAGCTGCCCGCAAGGCACGTGAGCGTATCAAACCGGCTCTGCACTGCGCTTGGCTCGGCTCGTGGCCTTTGGCAGTACCGGGAACTGCACCGTGCGAACGCATCTGACGAGTCGCGCCCCGCGCGCGTAGATACCAAGCCTCACCATGGGCATCTATGAAGCCGAGCCAACCCGAGCCACGCACGATGTCGCATCGTCACGTATGGCTTCAAGCCGCCCTCGTCGGAGAGTACAAACTGAAAATATAATGTAAAACGAAAAAAGCGAGTACGGCTTTGAAACCATGTAGATCGTAATGCACAAAATATTAGGCGTCTAGGGCCCAGCATGTTTGAAGGGGTATTATTTAGGCAATTCATATGACACGTACATTTGGACTGAGTCAATGTATGAGTAGTAATCGAAGATTACTGTGTGTAGTCCATAACTTACCGTTTTTAATTTCCAGCCAAAGTACGTACATTTCCATATGTCTTGGGAAATGAAATATATTTTTTCTTGCATAACTAGTTATAATAAAAACTCCTAAAAGCGGTACTAAATTAAACATATTTCCTAAAGTTCGATTGTAATTTCGAAAAAAATCGTAGAATTTATGTTTTTAGACTAGGTAGGCTATTAAGGAACCACTTTTCACTTAACATTTGATGTGTAAAAAATAGATACAAATGTAACAATATTTTACCACTGATTTTAAATAATACTATCATAAATTTAAAGTTCTTAAAGGTTTAAAATTGAAAATTGAAAATAGACTTCTCAAATAACTTAAATATGTATTTTAATTATGAATTCAAACGTGCATTAAAAATTTTAATCAAACATTTGTACAGAACTCCAGTTTAGGTCCCTATGTATATTGTGTCGCCTTTGTCATACAAACGCACAATAAATAGCAAATTTGAATTCATTAGAACTAATTTTAATGTTTGTGTCGTTAGTAAATAGTATTAAAAATATGTGTTCACCTAAAATACAATTTAAAAATGAGAATATTATCTGTTGCATCTCTATTGATATTTTAATTTTAAAATGAGATCATTTAAAATTGTAATATTTTACGTCGTTATAACTTAGGTATCCACTTCAAAATTAAAATATCAATAAAATCCTACAAGATACCTTACACAACATTTTTAATTTTAGGCTTGATAATAGATCAATGCACTCTAATACTATATGTCTACATCTAACAACATGACTGAATTTAATTTTAAAAAATGATAATGTTGGTTTAAAATACAGTTCTTAATTATTAATGGTAAATTATTTTGAATTAAAATGAAAATGTTTTTAAGCTTTTTGCTAATAACAAGAAAAAAAAATATTTTCTCAGATATAATTAACCCGTCAACAGTACTGCTAAGCAACATCCGCCATTTGGGTTGACTTAACTCTTTGTTTTTTTATCATTGTTTATTAAATAATAAACATAGAATATTGAAACCAACAACAAGTTACTTATATTTTAATCTTTTACAAAAAAATTTCTCATATTTTTTTTTAAATAATAAAAATTAAAAGCTACATTATTATAAGACTTTTTTTAATTCAAACATTATTGTTTTAAAAATTTGATTTTTTTATACACATATAATCCCATAAATAAATAAAGTATATGAATTATGATATAATATTATTCATCTAGGCTGAGTGGTCTATACCAGTGCCTGGCAAACGAATATATTTTTTTTTTATTTATTTATTTGAAATACACGCCCGTAGGCATCAATATTGATGATATTGCATGTCATCTCATCGAGAATTATTTATAAAATTATTATAGGTGTAAAATTATACTTGGAAACATATCAATTGAACGTATTAATAATATCACAGTAATACAGGACTCCAGTAATAAATAAATAAGTGGTTCTCAAAATACCAACGTGATGAGTGCCAAGCTCACCTCAATACCAATGGCGGGAAAATAAATTATAATATGGCAAATACATTAATATAAATATAATTGAAATATTACTTGGTAGTTTGTTATACCTACTAGTAACTTATTTCGCTCATAGCTTATTATTTTTTAGAAGAACTAGAAGAAGTTATTTGAAACCAATTTAGACACCAGCATATCATTAGCTGCATGCAAAAAATACATTGTGCATATTATGTCTTCTACAAAAACAGACAGTACTGATTTTTTTTTATAATTTCATATTAATTCATAATACAGTGTAATAACCTTTATTTGTTTATACAATCAATAGTAATAATTATTAGTTAATTAATAATGTGTATATATAAATTATAGTTAGTATAATCAATACTTAGTAGTTTTTAGATATTTATTTATTTATTACATTAATAGTATTTAATAAGTCACAACTCGCAATTAAAGAATAAGCTTATAAAGGCAATAAACAAATATCAAATATTTTATTATTTTATAATTATATTATATATTATTTTAACCTAGTAACCACTTTAATTATTACTTTTTTGAGAATTGATATTTAAATATTGTTTAAATATTACTGTATTTTATATGAATAACAGAATAAATATATTTATTTAGTATTCTATGGTTTTATTCCTGGTATATAGTGAAGATTATTTTTAATATTTTATCATAAGAATAACTAAAATGTAATATGTAAGTTATAAGTAATATACTACGTTTATATTTTAATATTTTATTATTGGTGTAGGTTTAAGAAATGATTATAAAAATAACTTGAATAGAGTAATCCATTGACTCGATCACAAGTTAGTAAATTAAAACAATATTGTAAACAGTATACACAACAACAATTTTGATAGCAACCTATTCATCTCAACAGTTTTATAATTATGAATAATAGTATTCAAATTAATAATATAATAATTTTAATTAATCTTTTCCTAATGTGTTTAACATAATAACAAAATATTGAGTGGGAGATAGATTAAGTATTTTAATAAAAATAATTGTATAACAATATAATTATTGCCATACGTTTATAACTATTGTAAAGAATTAATATAAACAAAAACAATAAATAATAAAAAAAAGTAGTAATTGAATAAATTATATAATATAATAATTAATAATTTTTTGAAGAAATAAAAATGTATATTATTTTGGGAAAATATATATTTTGTTTCCAAGAATACATAGGATTAATATTTATTACTAAAAGCAAATTTAGGTCAAAATCCATCTACATAAACTTGATGGCAATTGTTCAGTAGATATCAGGAAGTAGCTTTTGCATCCGATTACTGAACTATAACTACGATCAATAACTGAGTTAACTGTTGGATAACTTCTAGTAAAAAAAACCAAATATTGGGATTTTACGCTGTCCAAAACCTGAAATAAAATGTTAAGGATAAGTTTTGTACAATAATTAGTGTTCTAATTCTTATAATAGGTTATGGCCAATAATTTAAAATAACTTACACACAAACACAAACAATAAAAGTATTTAAAGTTCAGTTTAAGATAAATTATTTTAGAGTCAAATGCAACTATTAAAAATGTAAATATATTTTTTAGTCACATAATTTATTAATAAACAAATTGTTTTGTATCTGTAAGATATCATGATTGAATAATTACAGAGGGTATAATATATTAAATTAAAGATAGGATTGTTTAGAGCACTATTTTGATCCTCGGGAAAAATAAATGAAACGAAAATAAAAATAATATTTATTAGTACACATTAGCAGTAGGTACCAAAAATTATTTTAAGAAAGTTACGTACGAATTATTAAACATATGGTTACTAAAATTATGCAATTGTCATCATTCAGATTTAATGTAAAATTTAAAATTTAAATCCTAAACATGAATTTGAAAATGACCATTTTAAATATTTATTTATTTTACACTTGAATGGTAAAAAATTTTAAATACTGCTATTAAGAATTATACACTGTATCATTATATTATAAAAAGTATTATTTAAATTATAGATTATAAAATATTTCATTAGTAATAATCAATGAACAAGCTTTAATTTAAGTTCATTCTAAATAAAAAATCATTAAATATTGATAACAGTTTACAGTATGTTGATTATTATTTCAATTTTTATAAAAACAGTAGTAATCAGAAAATGGTTAGTTTAAATTATTATTATTATTATCCTGCAATAAATATTAAGAAGGTATCCAATCATTATAATTTTTTCACTTTAAAATGTTTGTACTTAGATAATAATTTAATGATTATCCACAGTTTTAACAATATTATATTATATTACAACAAAATGAGGTTGATTATTTTCATTGTTACACTTCATAATTACGCATTACTTAAATAATGTATTTACAAACTTTATTATCATCATTTATTTAATTGTGTTATAGCTTCATCTTCTTTTCGTCTGGAGGGTTCAGATGTTTGTATAGATTATCCAGAATTTCAAGGTTTGCAATAGTTTCAACAGTTAACCAAAAGGTGCACTACTGTTAAAAGTTCACTGCAGTTTTGGCATAGTACTGGTTCCTCACTTCTCATATGATGGGCATGGGACATCTAAAAAACTATCAAATGTTTTATTTTTAAAATAAATTATATTAGTATATAAAATTGAAAAAAATATTAAACGTAATTAATGAGACTGAAGATAGTAGATACTTATTTAAATATTTAATATTAGTTTACTAATAAAGTAATATGTTACTAAATAATTTATATAACATTAGGACTACAGTTCTACACAATGTGATAGTAAAATAGTAATGAAAACACAATCTTCACGGACAGGATCTAGACATTAAATATTATATCAAATTCAGTCAAAAAAATTAAAGCAAGATAATGAATTTTTTTCAAAATTAGTTTTAGTAAAATACCTATTATATTAAAATAGAATGAGTCATTTTTAATTTAATTATATAACTAATGTAAAATGTATGTATGATAATTTTATTCACAATATTGAAATTCAACACCAAAGATCCTATATATATATAATATATACTATACAGTAAGTTCACGATGAGAGGTATACTACTAAAATCAAAATGGGGTTTTTGGGAGGGTGAAGAGACGAGAGTACCTACTCAACTTTTATGTATGCTCATGTAACTATAACTTACTTTTTTTAAATGATAACCAATTTTTTTCTAAAGATACTAGTGGACAATTTAAATTTTTGTGTATAAAATAGTTCTTAACTGTAAAATTGACAATGTCAGAGATGTAAGCTGAAATTCACAAATTTTCCTCACAAGCGGTTAACATTTTTGAATAATAATTTTGATTTTAAAGTTTCTACAGTTATTTTTATTTTTAAGACTATAACATAATTAGTTAATATAATATACTGGCAAAAAATCTAGAGTAAATCTAAACAATTTTGAATTTGTAAGCTGTTAAGCTTTAGGTTATCGTTATCGCTTATCATTAAAGACCGGATTTTTATATTTTTACATAACGTTACTGGGTCTATGCAGTCTTATGAGAGTAAAAAATGTGGATGATTCGTTTAAGTCTGAGTTTGTAGAACAACATTTTTTTGCATATTTGAGAATATTTCATGGGTTAGGAAATATTTAACCCACTTAGCATATTAAGGAATATTTTGTAAATTGTTAGCAAAACTATTTATTCATTATTTATTTTAATATTATGGTACCGGGAAATTTTATTTTTATCATTTAGATAAAAAGAGCAGGCAATGTTATAGGTTTATACTTTATAGCACTATATCATAAAATTCCATGCCATTCACTTAACATGTTGGCTAACATACAGTTGTTTTCATACTGTATCATGTAAAAGTTTATCAAATATTCAAAATTCAAACATCCAAATTTTGTTTAACACTTTTCCATTTTTGAAATTACATATTTTTAAGTGTAGATTGATTGTTGGTTTTTAAAATGATAATATCCATCATAATACCCAAGTATATGCCTCACTATCAAATGAATGATGTAAAAAAAGATATTTAAAAATGTATATTACAGCATATATTGATGTTAATTGATTATTTTGTCATATTTTTTAAACATTTTAAGAGAATAAAATGAGAATATTTGAAGGTTTTTTAGAGAATTTTAGCATCATATTTTAGGTGTTTTAAGAGAATTTAGATCCAGTCTTTAGTTATAACATAACATTTTAATAAAATAATTATAGATATACTTATTTTAATAATTTATTACCTTTTATTATAGTTGAAAAAACTTCAGTATACATTTGGTTCCGTACGATAGAAAGTTAAACACCAGCATTGACTGTCCATTATTCATATACATAAATATATGATAATATCTTCTGATGGAAAATGCTATAGTATCAATATTGACGAGTATCTGTAAACAGGGAAACCTCTATTACTTTAGTAATTCACGACTTTTTCAAAACTATTAAAATATTAACTTTTATAAACAATTTTGTAATGAAAATTAACATGCATTTATCATTGATTATAAAACATCAAACAAAACTGTTTACTGACCTTTTTAACCAAAATATTTGTAATTTAATTTGGTAGCACATTTGAAGGGTTTTGTTTACAGACTCTGTATTGTAGTAATTTTTCCACTTCAACTGCTCATCCAAAATCATCAACTTATCGATCGTTAATAGGTTTAATACAATTATAAATTATTATAATTTCATTCACACTATAGACTTCATAGTTCATACCCAACATTGTTTTTCCATCTTTAAATCATAAATAATAATAGTAAATAAAATAAATATTTGAATGATAATAATAATATAATATAACTACAATAACCTAAACAATGATAATAGTAATTCAATGTCAACTTAGTAAAATAGTTTAAAATATTCTTTTTCTCAAATTCAAACCATTATAACATATACTTTTGCAATGACTCACTTTTAAAACATACTTCAATGCTATTCGTTCATTGATATGAGATAGCTGTAGTAGTACATAATTAATTCTAAATAAATTAATGATTGAAAATAATACCAGACCCTAAGAATATTTTAAAACATTATTTTTGTAGTAGAAGAATAATAATAAAAACAAATAATAATTAGGTACATTTACAATTCAAAGTTAATTGGTAGATTAGAATGGTGAATTTATTGACATTAACGCATAAAATAATATATTTGTAATGTTAAAAGAGTAACAAATTAGAAACGATAATAAACTTAAGATCACTGTATAGTATTATATTATTATGCCTATATCTAATTGGAATCTACTCTTGACTTATTATTGTAGTATTTTCCATTTGGTGATGGCGTACTGCACACATAAGAACAGTAATGGATGAGAAACAGTGTATTAATTGAGTCTTACGAGGGAAAATTGAGTGTATGTAACAGTGATTAGAAAAATGATTAATAGCAAACATCAGAATGATATTGGAACAAGTCAAGTACTGATTGAAAAATTAGTAAATATATGTGATAGACTATATAAGTAATTTAAAATAAGTTGAAACCTTAAAAACTTTAATTCTTTTTGCTACATAATTTGGTCCACAGCAAATTTAAACTATAGTTAAGACAAATTCCAATTACTGACTTCCTAATAGAATTACCTACCTATTTTGTGCACACAATATACAGCTTGGAATAAGTTCAGTGAAAATAACCAATAATATGTAATTAATAAATAATAATCTGTAAGTTTGGGACAAAGGGGTGTCTAGAACTTTTGTAGGGGTCGTATAAAAGCCTTTAATATGAATGCAAAACCAGGCGGAGCTAAGATGTTTTACTAGATATTTCTGACAAAAAAAATTATCATTACCTTGTCGGGAGTATAAAAAACAATTCCTAATAATAGAGATAAAAACGAAAAACATTATTATTATATGGATGGAATATTATTGATACCACATTTACACGTCATGTTTTATTAAATTTAGCAGCTCATGCGTGTGAATGACACATTATGTGCCAATGGTTTCTGAGCAATATATCTTTATAGATATTTTATTTAATAAGCTGCAAATTATATACGTTGTACATTATATACAGTTTTAATCTGTGGATTAATCATCAACTTATGATCAAGTTTTTCACAGTAACAATAACCTCTTTAAAAAAAAAAAACTTGTTTGATAACTAACCTCTACAGTCTGCAAGTTCATAATTTTCAGAGTGGTGATCCATTGTTTTTGATTTTCAAAGAAAATAATTTTGATATTAATTTATGAAAACAATTTCATTGCAATTCGCAAAGGATATTTTAATCAAAATGATCAGAATGTTGTCCATTTTTTTATCACTAGCAGGCTAACCTTATACATCTTATCAGTAGATATTTAGAATGACGCAGCAGGGACAGTGTTGTCTAATAATAATAATAATTATTTTAAATATGATAACTTCGATTATTGGCATTCAATCATTAATTATTATTTCAAGATTTGGCTAACAAAGAATAAATTGTCAGCAGAACATGTAAATCGTTGTAAAAGTAAACCATACATTCTTTACAGTTAGCTTGGCATAACAAAACTAAACAAGACCTAAAATAGTGTTGTAAACTTGTAACCTTTGTTCATAATAATATACGTATATTATATTCCCAGTGGCAGATTTAAAGAAAAAGGCCAAGTCGGCAAACATTAGAAAGGGCCCAATAAAATAATTACTCAAGAATTGACCAACATTTTCGGTATTTAAATATTTAATAAATATTTTGAGTTAAATTTCCATAAATGTAATTAATTTATACGACAGTAAAATACCTACGAATTAATTAGATAAAATTATTACCTACTAAATACCTTTATTTTAAGCAAAATATGAAACATAACTTATAGAAAACAATACCTATACAAAGATGAATAAAACGATTTATAAATATTACCTACCTACTTGAACTTGGTCAGTTAGTTGTACAGCGTATTTTCTTGTTTTCTGTTCTTGTTGAAAAATTATCTGTCATTTGTCATAATGGAATACTTACAATCGTAGAAGATATTATTTTCCGTTAAAATTGAGAGGGACTCAGTCAGCGAATATCCATATACATTTTGCTCCGTTAAAACCACCAGTGTTTAATAGACACATTCTATAGGCGTAGATACTATACCCAGAAAATTAAATTGGAGTAATTCGAGAGGTAATTGTTAAAACATTAAAGTCTACAGATTATAGATCATTATAATATAATGTATATTATTATTATTTAATGATTTATACGATTGTAACAAAGTGAGTAGGTAGATAGCGATAGCCTGAAAATTAAAACGGAGCCATTACAATGATGACATAATAAAATATATGTGTTTTTCTGTGTTTCGGTCATCACGTTTGGGAATGGAATATTTTATTTCAATCTTCATCACTACATTTCTAATAGAAAATGTTATCTTGTTGGTACATGAGGTGTTGACGAATAGAAAATGTCCAGTATTTTGCTGAAGTCCTAATTAGGAAAAACTCACAAAAAAACAAGGACAAACAGGACTATTTAAGCAGCAACACTAGTTGAAAAAAATATGCTGTAATTTAAAAAAGAAAAATCGTAGACTTCAAATGATTAGAAAATTATCATTTATCTACACATAAAATGTACCTACATAAACTAGTTTTCTATACATAATACAACGTTTAAAATACTTACGACTTTAAAACTGTTTTAACTAATTATGTGCTGAGTATATGATATGTGAAATTTTTGAGTTTTTAACAATTTGTCCAATATATGTAATTCTGATCTAACAGTTTTAATTTTAATACAAGGTTCCTCGTGAGTTTTTCTTACATCAATTCGAAAATATTAAAAATATTTAGACACAGTTTTTTATAGTAATTTGAACTTAAAATTTGACAAAGTTGAATATTTTAAGGTAAAATAACTAATAATTGTTTATTGTAATTAAAAAATAAAAATCGTAGAAACTTGAAAACCTTTTCACCATAAATCATCATGTACCTATTAGATATGGTGAATTATATGCTTACCTTCCATATTAGTATACAAATAGAAAAGTAAATATTGAATATTAAAATGTCTCACAATAATATAAACTAAAATTTTAAAACATCATTGGAAATAACGACTAACATAGTGACGCCATATAGGTATTTTTTTGACAAGCCCTTGAATCTTACATTTTTACAACCAAGTATCCTGCAGTCGTGTAGTCCGAATGTATATGATGAGACTAAAAATATACTTTTATTCTAGTGCATACATTTGACAGTATGAAATAGAGACACTGCTTTTGCAATAAAATTAATAATTATAATAATTATTAATGTAAGTTTTACAGAAGTCTAAACACCTAACCTTGAGAAAATGTGGTGCACTTTTTTTTTCGTTATGAATTATGATCCTGTATAAAATATATCAATTTTAAGTTCAACAGAACTAATTTTGTGTTTATGGTAGATACCTAATTTGTAAATTATTGTGAATATACTGCTAATAATAAACTTAAGGGCAGAAATATAAAAAACCTATATAAGGTTCCCTAGATTAATTTGTATTTGTAAAAAATAATTATTTCAAAAAATATGAACAATTTAATACAAAGTTTCCTATAAGTTGTAAAAACTTATAACGGACTACTGACTACTATTTACAGAAAAAATGATTAAAACTTCAGTTATAATTTTTTAACTTGTATTTATTTGCAGTTCAAATTTTAACAAAATGGATATTCTCAACGTAATAGTTTTTCGTTACTTTGCGACTATTCAAAAAAATATTAGCTGTAGAAACTTTCCACTATATCGGCACTATCATACTTTTATTATCTTTACTCATAGGTACATGTACAATATAAATTATCGCTCTTTTTAAACTATATTTATTATTCATTAGATGTCATAAACAGACAATTGAAATGTTTTATATTTTTTATTTATACATATCTGATAACATTTTCGATTCTTTGTCAGATAGTTTAAGAATGTAATATAAGGTTACTTGTTGTACTAAGTTGTTCTTATTACTTATTGCAATTGTTTCTTATATTTTTTGAATAATATATTTATCAAACTGAATCAAATAATGTAATATTATTGGAACTCTTCATTATTTTTTATGGAATTTGAAGGTTTATCCCATGGATACACCTTAGCCACGAATTGACGCCCCATGGCCAGTTAGCCGCTATTAATTCTGTATATAAGTGTAAAGTTAATATTTATCTATTTTTATCGATTTAGTAGGACTCACTAGGCCTCTATTTTAAATTCAAGTATAAGGTCTATGTTCAATGAATTCAGGGTCGCTGGTCAGAAGCGTGTTTTTTTTTGTCATCCGTTAAATGTTAACTGTACCTATTACCTCTATGTGTACCTATATTTTCGTGTTATTGATTTCTTAATAAACCGTTACAAAATGTAACAACGTGTAACGGTTTTAATAAATGTAGAATATTAAAAAAAAACACATTAAAATGAAAACTTAATATTACTTTGACACATCGTAGGTATACGAGTATTATTAAATATTTATATTTACGAAATACCTATATATAGGTAGACACTAGCTATAATTTCACGCATTGGTATTGAGAAAATGACATTTAAGAAAAGAATACTACTTATGTACGGTATTCGTGGTTATTTAAATATTATGATAAAATTGTTTAGCATACTAAATGGTAAAAACTAGAGACTAAAGTTCACGCGACTCATGCATTAGGACCATTAGGTAAACCTATTATTGGGCCTATTAATTTGAAATAAAAATAATTCACTACTGCTCTACTACAGTATTTTGAGTACTTAAAAATAATGGATATATAATAATGATATTGATGTATTATCACAATAAATAATTGAAAAACATTAATATACGATCGTATTAAACAATTTTATCCAATGGTCGAAGTGGCTCAAAATAAGTGGAGGGATGGAAAATGTGAATTATAAAAAGTGGAGGGATTCCTTCCCACCATACCCTCACCTCTCTTTGACCACTGGTTTTATCTATGTAAACGTGTCAACTATAAAATTACACTCACATAATACTGTTATATAACATACTGTTGTCGTGCGTTTTATTTTTATTTGTAATAACGATAATATTATTACCTATTTAGTTTAGAACATCATTTCAGCGTTATATACCTATAACACCTGGTTGCAATAAATAATAATTCATTGATAAAATGTATTATATGGCGGAACCCTAAATTATCATAACTCATAAGTCTATAAATTGTCCCGGGAGATTAATGTCGTAAATTATAATATATATATTTTAAAAAAGGCGTATCGAAATTACACAGGAATTATAAATATTTACGTAGGTCGTAGCAATATAGGTACTTACTACTTGTATAGGTATAGACTTTAAACATAACACGTCCGTGTTTATATTGTGTTTAGTTTATTCTGAGTAAACCACTTGGATATTTTATCGAAGTAGGAAATAATAAAATGTGTCGGCAATAAATAAAAAACATTTTTCACTATCAATATTATTTTTTGTCAATATACATTGTATTAGCTAATATTATTACATATACATATTAATTATCATTATTATTCTGTTTCTAAACTGTCGTTGACCTAGTTTACTTTTAGAAAACAATAATAATAACATTAGATTAATGTAATAATAATATTAGATTAATATAATAATAATAAAATTAGATTAATATAATAATAGTAAGTGGACTATGGCTGCTCAGGTTTCTATATATCTCGACTAGCTAATAGTCAGTAGCCATACAGCCAAACGTAGAACTAATGTACCTATTATTCTCCATTTGAACTCTACAATTATTGCGTACAACAAACCATATAATATTCAAATCAGACAAGAACTATATGAGATTACATAGTTGAGATTTATTAGATTTTTGATTTGAGACTTCATTAAAAATGTTTATAAGTATATCTTTTCTTTTAGAGTTTGAAAGTTAGCATTAAAAACCTTTTTTCACCACTATTTTCATAATTGACAATGCTTAAAATGATTCAATGCATTCGATAGTGCAATAGCCAGAGAGATCTACATTATTTCAATTTTGAATTTTTAGAGTTAATTATGACTATAGTTTGAACATTTTTATCCGTCGACTGGTGAATCATTCGGTTACATTTAAAC